ACTGTCGCAGAGGGAGAATTTGGATGAAATCAGCAGCAAACTGTCGCTCGGATCAGAACTCCTTCAACGAATGTGCAAAATAAAATATTTACACCAACCTGATGTCGACACTCAGGCTTTTATTCTGAAATGCACACCAGGAAATGAAAGTATTAAAGTCATCCAGTCTGTTTTATTTTTATAAAAACTAAATTTAAGGACCTCTTTCTGCCGCTCAGAGGGGCGGGAATCACCGTGGCAACCAGTGACTCAGCAAACTGAGTGTTCTGGGTTGTGAGGAAACAGGAAGAGGACCCTGGAGTTTCAAAATAAAGTTCCTGGCTCCTCCACCTGAGCCACAGTCCTGAGAGTGTGCTGGACTTCAGAGTAGATGTTCTAGTTTCCATCGTCTCAGATTCTGTTCTGGTTCCTGACGGGACGATGTTAATAAAACTTCAAACTGAACCAGAACCAGAACCAGAACCAGAACATCCAATAAACAAATCAAGTTGAAACCAACAAACTGAGACGGGAAGAAAAAGTTTTTTTTTATCACATTTTTATTGTTTTGTATAAATATAAATTATCTTCTCAAACATTTTAGGATGGAATGTGCAAAACTGACGAGTGGTGACCCAAACGGACCTGCAGGTTCTGACAGAACCCACATGGGTCCAAATCAGTTCCAGGCTTTCTGCAGTCAACATAAAAAATGCTTTTAATTTGTGAAAAACTGAATCCTTCACCTGGTTTGAAGTTTTTAGTGTTTAAATCTGGTACGAGATGAATCATGGGGCCCAGAACCAGAACCAGAACCAGACGAATCCCGTCCGGTTCCGTTTGACGTGGAGTCAGTAGTATTTTCTTCAGCCTGACGTTTGGTCCTTCAACAGAACCGGGTCTCCTCAGACTCCAAAAAGGAGAACCGGGTCTGAGTCCGTAGAACTGATCTTTTAGTGGTCCTGAGGGGGTCTAAATGGGGCTCAGGGTCTGGCGCTGGTACTGGGTCAGCTCCGGGTGCCACACGTCCACAATGAAGATGAGGCGGTAGCTGTCGGCCTCCTGCCACACCTCGTGCTCGAAGGAGTCGTCAAAGATCAGGACCTTCCCCTCGTCCCACTCCCTGAGACACGGGTCAAGGACAGAGGTTCAGTTAGAGTCTGACGGGACCGGATCAACATTCACACAAAGGTACTGGATCAACATTCACACAAAGGTACTGGATCAACGTTCACACAAAGGTACTG